GGATTTATCAATCCAAAGATATGCTGTTATACCTTTGTCACCTAACAGTGGTTTAATTGGATGGGTTCCAAACTGTGACACACTTCATGCTCTGATCCGTGAATATAGAGATGCCAGGAAGGTTTGTCTGCTGTAATCTCTTGTTTCATAGCTATATGTATTTTGCTTTCTTTTATTTAGCAATTACTGTTTGTTTCCCTTTCCAGATTTTCTTGAATCAGGAGCACAAACTTATGTTGGCTTTTGCACCTGATTATGATCACTTACCCCTCATTGCAAAGGTGGAAGTGTTTCAGCATGCTTTGCAAAATACTGAGGGAAATGACCTTGTGAAGGTATTGTGCTGTATCTTCTCTCAATGAGTATCCCCTTTATATTTACAACATTGTAGCGTCATTCTATATAAATAAACTGTGGCAGGTTCTGTGGCTGAAGAGTCGAACTTCGGAAGTATGGCTTGAGCGCCGCACAAACTATGCTAGAAGCCTGGCTGTTATGAGCATGGTACGAGTTACTTTCTTATTCTGATTTTTCAAATGGAATCTACATTACTTTATGATGCTGAAAAGGTAATTTTCAGGTTGGGTATTTGCTTGGTTTAGGAGATCGGCATCCAAGTAATCTTATGTTAGATCGCTATAGGTACATCTTCAGAACTAGTCTTCCATTAGTGTATGTATTATGCAGTTACTTCTGTAATAAGATTGTTCTTTTTGCTTCAGTGGAAAAATATTACACATTGATTTTGGAGATTGCTTTGAGGCTTCAATGAATCGAGAAAAGTTCCCTGAAAAAGTAAGTAATATTGCTGTGTGCATTATTATACCTTAATTATTCCCTTGATTTCTTTTTATAAGGTGTGTAGGTGCTTCAACATTCAAACTTTATAAACTTTGAGCAGAAATTAATATACCAGTGTGTAGATTGCGTTACACAAAATTTGCACCATTTGATTCGAAAGTGGTTTCTTATGATTAAGATTTTATAGTCAGACAATATACTGTAAGAGAAATCAGAGGTCCATGCCTGAGATTTTATATTCATAGACTACTATAAGAGAAATTAGTGGTCAAAGTATATTCTTGCCTTGGAGACACGCCCAACATTTAGAAATGTGTTCATGGCTTGTACTCCTAATTGTGACTTAGCCATTGCATTTTTATTTGACAGTATCTTACCAGTTTGCAATGTGGTATAGGTACCATTCCGTTTGACTAGAATGCTTGTGAAAGCTATGGAAGTTAGCGGTATTGAGGGTACATTCCGAAAAACTTGTGAAAATGTGATGCAAGTCCTTCGCACAAACAGAGACAGCGTTATGGCCATGATGGAGGTGAGATGATCGCCTTATTTTCCGTATGACCCAGAGTATTTAGTTTCTTCACTTCAGACGCGGATAGATTTTTTTATTCCCAGTACAAATTCTGAAAAGTAAAAAGAAATAATGTTTAGGAGTTAGTTTTTCTTAAGGCTGGATTCAGTTAGAAATCAAGAGCTTGATTAGGTAAAGCAAGTTGCCACTCACTAAAGAAATTCTCGTATCCTTGTTTAGCAGAAATTTTAAGTAGCAAACTAATTTGTCATATCTGTGTACCATATTTTGAGTTGATGCTCCCAATGTTTCCACAAAGGTCTGATTTTGTAGTGGGAATAGTTTGGAAAACAGAATAGGAAGATGACTTTGTCTTTTTCCCTTCAGTTCTTCGTTGTGTGTTTCTTGTACCACCTACCTACATGCTTGGTGACCTTGTGCTCTTATTAGGCCTGCCTTTCTAAAATATTTTGCTTTTGATCTCCCCAGGCATCTGTACATGACCCGTTAATCAATTGGCGTCTGTTCAATTTCAATGAGGTTCCTCAAGTGTCAAACTATGGTAATGCTCATGCTCACACGGTTGTCAGTAGTGAAGAAGCAGTGGCTAATCGAGAACTCATGCAACCTCAGCGAGGAGCACGTGAGAGGGAACTGCTACAGGTTGCCTGCTCTTCTCCATCCTCATGGTCTGATTGCACTAAACCTTACCACGTACCTGGATGAGTAACCATTCATGTTTTGTCCATGCAGTCCGTCAATCAACTTGGTGATGCCAATGAGGTTTTGAATGAGCGTACTGTAGCTGTGATGGCACGGATGAGTGACAAGCTAACAGGGCGTGACTTCTCTTCTGGGTCAGCTTTGGCTGGAGCAGGTAGCTCGACCCAACATGGCAGTGAGCACTTGGCTTCAGGAGATGCCCGAGATGCGCAACCTTGTCTTTCAGTGAAGGTTCAGGTTCAGAAGCTCATACTCCAAGCGACTTCACAAGAAAATTTGTGCCAAAACTTTGTCGGGTATGAATCTATTCGCACTTCCTCTTTTCTTGCAGCTGCCCGCCTGCCCCGTTCTGTAATTTTGGGTCAGCCATCGTTTTTTTTTTTGACTGTACGCTACTGTTTTTTGCTTGTTTGTTTCACAGGTGGTGTCCGTTCTGGTGAGCTCTCTTGGAAACAGTAGCAGTTTATAGCATGTAAATTTTGTGAATACCGTGTACATAGAGTTTTCGTGGTGACAGTTTGTAGCTAATCTGTGCAGCTCTGTAATTAGCAGAACCTCATTCGTTAATAAAAGATGCCTTAGACCATCCTTTTTTCAGCATCTTAGGTTTTGTTCCCTGCCTCTTGACTGGAAATATTAGGCCAGTTTCGTTTTTAAAAAAATTAGTCCAGTCTTAGTGGGAGTTTCATTTGACATGATTAGGCCATCTTAGGTTTCAGACATTTTTGATGATGTGACCACGTTTTTAGGAAGAAAGAGAAGGTGACTCTTGACATGATTCCTAACTCCTAGTGATGAAATTAAATGTCTATGAAACCATAGAATAAAACTTTTCATTAAGAGTGAGTGTTTCATCAATGTTTTATTTTATCTATGACATGCTAGTCTTAAAAAACGAGCCTGATCAGCTGTGCTTGCTGTGGCTGTAGAATGATGATGCTGTAAAGACAAGTTCAGTAAAATTCCCTCTATTAGCAGCGGCGAGCCCGTTAAAAGTCTGAAACTCCTGAGACGTGAGACTGGCCTTAGCATTGTCGCGTTCTGCTTTTGCTACCGAGGGAGAGTTGCACGCAAAGGTGGCTTGAGTGGTTGTTTGGTTCCATCGCTCGGCTCTGTGACGCCACGCCGAGCGAGTGCTTTGAAGACTGGTGAGGTTTTTCTTGCTCGTGAAGGAGAGCCAAATTGGCTTGCTCATCCGGTCAAGCTTCTCGTTGAGCGTGCGAGTGCTGCAATCAAGGTGAGGCAATACCTGGTCGGGGAACCAAGCAGCCCAATCAGTATCTGCTGAGCTACGAACTTGCATGACTCCATCCATTTGACTGTATAGTAATCTGTACTGCTAGTGCCATACGTCTGGATGGACGCCTGTGGCAGTCTGTTTCCGATGGACGCCTGTGGCAGTCTGTTTCCGCACCCCATTTCCACGTCCACGCTGGGCCTGTGCTGCCCGGACATCGTCCGCCCGGACGTCGCCCATGCAGGGATCACTCGCGCCCCTTCCCGCTTCCCATGCACATCGCATGTGCAACACACAATCTCTTTTAAAACATTCAGATGTAACACTTGCAACATACAAAAAAAAAAACATATAATATACTTAGAAATATGCGTCTAAAACACTTAAAAACCCATAAACATAAACAATATGCATATAAAACACTTGCAATATATGTGTGAAACATATGCAACATCCAGATAAACACACTTGCAACATATGTCTGGAAAACAGTTAAAACATTGGGAACAGACGTTGGCAACGTACGTGTACAACCACTTTTGCAACATCCGTATAAAACACTTGCAACATACCTATGAAACATTTAAAATACTTGATCATACGTTGCAACATGCGCTTTCAGCTCAACATCTCCTCCTTGCTGTTTGGGAGAATAGAGGCTTATCGGAGTGTGGAGTTCACCGAAGGCAACGGCCCAGGGCGAGGAGCGGAGATAGGTCGGCGAGCGGATCTTGACGAAGAGCAAAGAAGATGGCGCCCACATCGAGTTCAAAGAGGTGTCAGACGGATCTCGGAAGAAGGATAGTCGGTGGTCCTTGGCTCCCACCCCAAGTTAAAGGAGCCAGCGGTCCTCGGCAGTCCAGGGCACAGGGGAGAAAGCTTGGGCAGGGAGGGTGGCGCAACGCTGGGTCAAAGAGGGAGCGAGGAGGCAATGGGGGCGCACAGTTGCGCTGGTGGCCAAGGGGGCTAAGCGTGAGCTGTGCGCGGGGTGCAACGCGGTAGGGAAAAAAGAGGGACGCGAGACAAGACCAATTCCTTTTTTTTTGAGAAAATCCTAAGCCGATAGGAGATGATAGTTGGGCTAGCATCGTGGCCCACCAACAGAGCGAGCGGACGGATGCCCGCTTCCCAGCAATCTAAAAGGTAAAAACACCCCAGAGCATGTACTTGGGACTTGTTCCAAGTTCACATGAATCCTAAGATGCACGATTATCTTGCCACCGTCGGCCACATTCATTTCCCAATGAATAACAGAAACCTAATGGTAGCAATTCCAGCACCAGTACATGTTTACCCCTGGTCACACTCGTAGATGCAACTTAGCTGACATGGTAGCATGATTATCCTGCCACCGTCGGCCAGCAGTGTTACATTCATTTCCCAAAATTCGTTTTAAATGTGAGTAACTGAAACCTAACGATATTGTTTAATTCCTTTAATAGCATGTAGTGATAAATCATACTAATATTTGTTTAATCAGGTCATGTGCAATCTCTAAAAAAATTCAGCGAATTTCGGCCGTTTCAGATACAACTTTTGGCAAACCTGACATGGTTCCCTTGCATGCATCCCGAGGCATCCAACACAGGTTGGCAGCATCCCAGGCATCCAACACAGGTTGGCAGCGTCACATAGATAATCCACCTAACACCAGGTCCATGCCACAGTTGGAATGCTCAGGGACGACCGGACGGGGGCTGATAACAGAGGCAGAAACATGCCTAGATTTTACCAGTTCAAGGAATTCTTGGACTGTTGAAGCTTTGCATTATATGCACTTTCCAGTTCCTCCTGCGAAATGACATGCCAGAGAAAGATTCGGACTTATGCCTCAGGAAATGTCAGAACCATGAGAGTAAATTCCTAGTAAGAGAATGCTCGAGAGCAAGATCAAATGGTCCTAACTTTTTTTTTCTTTGGGTGGGGGCTGGGGGATGAATAGAATCATATAGTGCCTAAGTTTCTGCTACCGAAGACATTTTGCACTGTTTCAATTATTCACATATATGCATATGGATGCCGGCATTGCCACAGAAATGAAATAGGAAAGAGTCCATACCTTGCATGCTTTCAGCAATGGGTGCAGAAAGGAAGTTCTGAAAAAACTGATGGATTTCCCAAGGGATGTTCTTTCCAAACCTGAAACCCCCAATAGGATTGTCAAAGAGGGCATATTAGCCTGTTAGGCAAGGCTGCATGTTGGTACTAGAATGCCTTATTTTTTTGCAATTACGGAATAATAAGTTTTTACATAAATCACAAAAGGAGCATGGTTATAATCACTTACTATTGTCAGAATCTGACTGAAAACCAGTAGCATTGAGCTCTCCTAAAAGCTGTATAAGTGTACTTGTTTTAGCAAATCAGCATTGCACCATGATTCTTGGGAGAAGGATATGAAATGTTAGTGTTTCTCATGCTAGGCTCTATGGACCATACCTGTGATAGAGTCGGAACAGCTGCAGGATCAAAATCATCACAGTTACTGGGATCAATTGGAACACAAACACGACCTAGAAAAATAAACAACAGTCAATTGTCAGCAATAGGGTGCATTGTGTGACAAACATTATTCCTGCAGTTGTTAGAATAAACTAAATGAAAAATGGCAAGGTATTTGAGTGAATGCATCTGTTCTGGAATCCAGAGATTTCAAAAGGACATGCCATGCGTATATATAAAGCCCTATTTGGATCCCATGGTGGTCTAATAAACTAATGGCTTTTTTGTGAGGTTAGCTAAACTTTAGACAACACTTTAGACCACCTGTTTGGAGCCTCAAGGGCTAAAGTGATCTAAATTTTAGCCACTAAACTTTAGACCATAGGATCCAAACAGGCCTAACCCTCTGTCTTGAGCATAAGAGCCTGCCACCTTATTATCACATTACAAACTAATACAGGAATTGAATGCATTATGACTTTTACCTGTCTTTGGATGTATACAAAAGGGAGCTTTTAGTAAATGATTCATGTGCTTTGATACCTGGCATGGGTATAAAGTTGATTAGGAGTGAGAACAACCTTGAACATTAGTACATTATTACCAGTGCAAACACAGACAACTGATGAATTTTCTTTTACCTCCATGTCAAGTCTAGGATATGTGTACGAGAAGACAATCTCTTCCACACATCTACGAAGCCCCTGAGCCAGAAACATAGAACAATTAGCGCTATTATGTAACATAATCAGATGAATTAGCAGATATGATTGTAACTGAGAACTTGGAATATTATAAATGATTTGGTGTAACCAAAAGAAATAAACATTGATCGATAAACAGACAAATGTCCGAACAAAAGTAAATAGGAACTAGGGGATAAAACACAGAAAAAAAAAGAGTAAGTAGGAGATCAAACATGAACCTTGTGTTTTCCTGACTGTAAAGTCGTCTTCAATTGCTCCCATCTGGTCGCATTGACATCTTCCTTTGAAATAGAAGATCGTCTATTTCCCTGCCACTTGTCATGGACCTCACTAGCAACATCTAGAAATCAAACCCAATTCAGAATGATGGTGAACAGATCTATGGCATGCTAAACAAGGGACGGTAGATCATCTACTCCCTCCATTCCAAATTATAAGATGTTTTGGCTTTTCTAAATACATAGTTTTTGCTATGCACTTAGATATACACTTGTCTACATACATAGCAAAAGCAATGTATCTAAAAAAGCCAAAACGTCTTATAATTTGAAATGGAGGGAGTATGTCAGAGAGTAACGTTCATTTCTCATGGTGCCTTTTCTTACTTTCATCAGGATGAGATCAAGGATCTTCTGACATCTCTCCTCTGATGAAAAGAGTTGTTGGCTAAGGAGCAACCTATCTTCAAAGAAGGTTTTGAGAACATCCATGTATGACTGGCTGCAGGAGCATAAATTACATCATAATCAATTTAGCTCTTCCAATTTTCGTTGGTAGATCAAACAAAATGGTGTGACAGTTAATACATACGCAAGGAAGGGATGGAGGACAGGTCCAGCCAACGATACTTTCTTCAGTGCATTTTCACCACCCTGAGATAGATTAGGGTTAAATAGATTTCTGGAGGGAAAGAAACAGCGCCAAAAGTGATGCATGATGAAGTGTGTCACCTTGTAGACTCGAAAGTAGTCAGCAATTGCAGCCCTTTGTTCATTGCTGAGCCTAACACGAGAACATATGTGTTTTAGGATCAACAAGCATAGGAAACAGATAAAGTAAATTCGAACATACTTTCTTGCTCTGCTATCACAGACCCAGCAGTGGACACCACGACGGCCACTGTATACCCATAGTATGTGACTGAAACCAAAATCATCTGCAAACAATGATTTCAATTATAATAAGCACTGCACATCTGTAGTTCGTGTGGATAAATTTGAAAAAGTGGGTAGTTGATGTATTGCATAATCAAATGGCATACCTCTAAGAGAAGTATTCAAAATTTTGATAGCAATTGTCATTAAGGGCCAGCAGTCTAAGCAGACATCAGCTCCAGAGCAGCAGTAGCGAACATCATCATAATCAGATATATCCTGGGAGGAATAAAAATGTTGACAGCTTGCAACTATTGCACAAGAATATAGAGCGCAAATATAAAAGGAAAATGGAATGAAAAAGATAATGCAAGTTTCTTATCTTACAATGTCAAAAATTAGTTCTCTCTCCACTGGTACAAAGACATTATTGCCAGATTGGGCGTAAGCATGACGCTTTGAAGGCTACAGAAAAACAAAGATTCATCAGGTAGCTAAGAACTTGCGAAAAGAGTATAATGCAGAAAATTAGAATCAAACTCAAAAAGAAATTTATGTGTTTAGCGATGTGGCATCATACATCTACGCTGTAGACAGGTCCAATATCAATCTTGAATGGGCACTTCTCCTTGATAGAACTCTCCAATTCAGTAGCACTATCAAAGGATTGGAAGCGCAAGTAGATGTCATTCTCCAGTGTAAATGAAAACTCTCGACGGCCAACATATGACTGATCACATCCAGGGTGCTTTCCATCTATAGAAAACAAAATTTGGCCAATCAAGACACAGCATGAGTGCAAGGCTAACTCCTAATCAAAGAACCAGGATGTGAGCACGAACCATTTCCATAACAAAGCCATTTGAAGAAATCACCATATGGGAAGAGCTTTCCTGAAATCATAACCCTGGTTGTTAGCGCAAGCAGCAGGAATAATCAAATACACTGTAGTATCCCTTACATAGTCGAGTGGGTTCTTAAATGCAAAGCCTCAGTCAGGTGCAGATGATTAACAAAATGTGCAAGGTCTTGAAAAAAAAGAAGAGTATGAAAACAAGATGTACTAAAGTTCTCAAACAATTGGGAGGGGAAGGAAACTATTCCAGCAAGCAAATGCTAGTCAGTTGCTTCCTCATCTGTTAGATGTCTCCATCACAATTCACATACAACAAAAGCAACCACAGAATTAATCGAAACAACAAAGATCCCCTAATCTGTGATGCAACATCACAACTCTGTAGAATCAATGATAAATAAAGATAGAAAATAGATGGTTATGGACCGACAAGATGGTATGGATCCTGTTTCATTTTGCTTGTCCGTTCCATGCATTATAAGGTGAATCAGTTTACCGTAGTAGACACGGAGATAGTCAGTGTTGAACCCTTCTGGCACCGCAGTGGGGGCTTCTAGCTGTTGCTGCTTCTTTTCGTCAATCTCCATAGAGTCAACCTGCTCATCGTCCCTAACCATCCTCAGATCAAAAAACTGTCTGTACTAAACGAAACAGAGGAATTCAAATTAGACCCAAAAAAAGGATGGACTGAATTTGTAGGGGAAAAAACGTCGGGAAATTGAAGGGCTTCTACTGGTGGGATTTTTTTTTTTACAAAATAAAAATGGAGAGACTGGGTTGGAGACAGGGGTGGAGTTGGCGCGGATCAGATCCGAACACAAACAGTAAGTTAGGGTTTGGGTGCTCTTACGCACAGCAAGAAGGGAGGACCAAGGAGAGTGGGTGTACCTGGTGGTGCTTGTCGCCGGCGAGCCTGAAGAAGACCTGGCCACCTGGCAGCGACGGTCGCCGAGTCGTCGCTGAGAGAAAGAGGGTGGCCCTCGCGTAGGGCGGCAGTGGTTGAGGGGCTGCAGGCTGCGCAGAGAGAGGCTACGGAGGGAGCGAGCGGTGGCGGTGGCGGTGGCGGCGCCGCGTTCGCAGGGGTTGAGAGGGAAAAGAGATGGTAGGAGAATGGCGGGAAAGAGATGTCGCTCCCCCCTAAAAGATGTCCCCTCGCTTCTAGTTGTAGGCTTCGCTCACTCATGTTTGGAGCTGGGCCTGGACCTCGTTTCGAAACGGGGAGTTAAGGCCCATTTGCAACATAAACGGTTATTTTTTAGAATATAAGATATTGTCACCCGTTATTTTCATTAATAACGTTCGTCCTCTATACCCCTCTAGGACAGTACAGTCGTAATGAGATTGTTGAAATCGCCATCCACATTATGCGTCTGGTATCCAGACTAGGCATGAGAATACAACTATGAATTACATGTAGGGGAAACTAGTTTAACTTTGACCAAGTTTATAGTGAATAGTATTAATATTTATGTCTTTAACTAGATTTATTATGAAAGTATATATTTCATAATAATCAATTTAATGATATTTATTTTATCATAAATATTAGTATTTTTTATATAATTTTGATAAACCCCAAATCGTTTGACTTTTGTATCCAGCATAAGTACTCCCCGTGTGCTCTGCGTTGAGGGGTGGGAGAAACTGAGAGGTGGGCCCACGCGCCCGATGTGTGCATGTATATGCGTCCTGAATGTGTGCATGATTATGGCACGACGACTGAAAAATGTGTGCCAGGCGCCACCTCCGATTTTTTTTTTGTCCAACAGTATTAGTACCCATCGTGTTGGACTAGCTAGCCTAACCATGCGCCAGTGGTATGGATGAAATTATTTTCAAGTAGGTGCTCAGCAGGTGTATAGATCGAGATTATTTCTTCTGATTTCTCGCGGTCCTTGCTGGATTTTGATTCAGCCATGCTATGATTTAAGTTTCACGTTTTGTCAAGTATACAGTTTTCTTGGAGTGCTTGACAGGGAGTAAGCATTTCTCGAAGAATAAATGAATTATTATAGACTCATTATAAAACACGAACTAGAACTGGAACGTATGTACTGGGGCCTGGGGCTAAATCTAGCTGCATTCAAGTATACGCGTGCTCCGGCTCCTACACTGTAGCCGAAGCCACGGAAGCCAGAAAAATCACTGTTGCAAACTCGGTACAAAAGTTACGTACAAATTAAAAAAAAGGACTACGTACTCATATTTTGTGCCAACAGCTGCTAGACCAGTTGCTCCCGCACTCCTAAAGCATAGGTAAAATGGACCGCTCCTCTCATCGGGTAACGGGTCCCTGTGTGCGGATGAGGCATGGTGTTCGGGGGTTTTCTCGGGCTAGGTAAAATAGCTCATGAGTGTCTATCCCGTATCCCTAAGTTTTTTTTTACATACTCACATTTTGTCATTATCTAAAAAATCATACTCATATTTCATTCTAAATTTCGATACTAGGAGTAGAATAGAAAACGGAAGGCGAGGGATAATGACATTTATTGTTGAATTTCAAGTGGAGGATCTTGGCATAATAACGCCCGGTGACAGCTCCTTTCGCACTCCTCGTCAAATTATGCGACGGACTAAAATAATTCCTCCCATCGTAAATATCTACATTTGAACTAGGTCAAAAATTTCAAGCTTTGACTTTAGCTATTAAATTTTATATTTTTATATATATTCACAATATAATTATTATGAACAATACTTTTATAATATATACACTTCTTCTAATTTAAGATAATATGAGTGTATCATAGTTATTCTTTTCTTATGATAGAACCTGGTAACCTAAGTTCAAATCCTTGACTTTTTTTTACGAGGTTACTATCTTATAGGAAAGACATAAAATGGTTCAAGTTCTCGACTTCGCATAAATACTCATATATTTTCAATACTTAGATGTTTATGAGCATATGAGTAGTTGCACATAAGGGTCATGTTTACATGTGTGCACTTATAGTGGTTAGTGTTACATGTTTGTGAGCGTCACAGTATGTACTATGTACTAACTCCGTCCCCAAAAGAATACAATTCTAGCACAGCGTCACGTTTTAGTATCTTAAGTTTGATCAATTATACATAAAAAAGTATTCATATTTATTATACCAAATAAATACAATCATATTAATTATAAAATGTATTTTCATAATAAATTAATTTAAAGACATAACTGTGAATATTATTCACTAAAAATTTGGTCAAACGTGAACCACTTTTCGTGGCAGCAACGTTGCATTCTTTTGAGGACGGAGGTCGTAATTAGTAAAAAGTCAGAAGAATTGACTTAGAAGATGTTCTTATGTGAGAGCTTCGTCCGTCATCCATGAATTTGTTGGTCTCACAAACTATGTAGGGCATATTGAGGACCGCTTAAAACCGTATATGCGGCTACCCCACCGCGAGAATCAAGAAAATCACGCCAAAAGCCTCATAAGAATCGATGATTTTTCCCATCACTGAAGGCACAGAGACCACGAGATTGAATTAGCCCTCGTGTTTTCCATGCCACGGTCCCAAACATGGCTGTAGCCGGATGATAAATATATTATGTGCTCAATAGTATTGTACATGCCCTTTCCAACATAAAACACAAAATGCTTTTGTAGCTCAGTTGGTTAGAGCACCCGTTTAGTAAGGTTGTCTCCAACAGGAGACTCATTGTGAAACTCAAACCCAAAATGGGTCTCCAATACAATACCTATAGCCTCCAACAGAGTACCTATATAGAAGATCCATTTTAGGTGCTGGGAAAGGCATAACCTAAATCTGAGTATCCCCTCTCCTGGAGACCCATTTGCAGAAAGGGTTGTCTTTTGGGTCTTGTTGTTGGAGAAGACCAAAAATAGTTATTGAACCATAGCGCTACACAAAGGACGAATGGATCTTGTATTTTAAGTCGCGGTTGTTGAAGACCATCTAAGCGGGAGGTCTTGAGTTCAACTCTCAACAAAAGCATTTGCATTTTCTGTTTTTCATTCAAAATGGTACACGCTTTTTGGAAAATAGTTTGCGGATACAATTTCTCTTTTTAATATTTTTTAAAACTAAACTTGAACAGTTCCAATAATTTGAACGACCCCTTTCCACAGACTCTTTCTGACTTTGAACAATACATGCTTTGGAAAATTGCCTTTTTAATAATAAAATAAATTTATTGGTTGCAGATACAATTTCTCTGTTTCCTTTTTAATAAAGAAATTTAACTTGAACAATACCTATAATTTGAACGCGTCGTTTTGCAAATTTTTGCTAAATATAAAGCTACCAACCCCTTTTCCAGATTCTTTCCGTCTCTTGTAAAGGCACAATGCAGAAATGTTGCAGATGTTGCAGAAATTTGTGCATCAGTCTGACTTACAGGCGAATGCACATCCAATACCTGCTCATTCTTGTTCCATCCAAAACCAAATAGACACAAATTGGCACATCAAACTTGATTGGCATTTTCATTGCAGCAGAAGTTGCAAAATTACATGTCATATATACTACACAATCAAAATTTCGATACAGACTTTACAGCCTTTGATTTCTCTTTTGGCAGCTGTGTACTAGTAACAAAACACATCTTTACTTGATTTCTCTTTTGGCAACTGTGTAGTTGTAGTATAAACACAACACATCTTGATTTGTTTACGAGTTACAACTACATTGCTACATGTGCTCCCCCATTGCCAGCCTCTAAACACTGCCCTGGAACCTTTGCTTCTCTTGCCAGTTGGAAGACTACACATTTGCAAGTTGTGTTGGTGTGCAAATGATACAAGTCTTCCTTCTTGTGCATCAGTTTGTTCGGTCAGGTCTTCAGTTATACCCATGTCCGTGTTAGTTTACTGGAACTTTGGTGCCTTGACAAGGTACACACCCCTCACTAAACCTTTACCAACATCTCCAACTTCCTTAAGGATAGCTGTCGGCTCTGGCACAGTTTCATCAGCCTCCTCTCTGCCACGCTTCTGTGACATGTAAAAAACTCATACAACTTAAAATACATCTGCATTTGTGCTACGCCAAATAAAAAAAGAGTTCTTCATGATAGAGTGCTTATTGGGAAAACAGACTAAAATATTGCTTGTCCGAAAAAAAATGTTCTATGGTTCAAGCTGTCACTAATACCTTTGGGTTCTCCCATGTAAGACCCACAGCGTCTCCTTCAATTGAACCATACCACAGCTTGAAGGTCTTGGAGAATGCACACTCTAAGTAGATGTTAAATTTTATTCCAAATGGATGAGCATATTTTCAAGAGATCAAGAGCTTTACCTTCAAGTCTCGCAAGAAGTACGTAGTTGGGTCAAAGTTTACCAAAAGTTTCTCTCTTGCGTCGTGCAAACCTTTCACGGCCCCTTTGTTAAGTGGCGTATAGGGGCAGAAATCTTTACTTGGTTTGCCCCAGACCACCAACTGAGTATGAAAAAAAGATACTAAAATAAGATTAAGCCAATGAAGTAGTGGATGAACAAAATTACCTCCCATGTATATTCCCCTGATTGACCATGAAGTGTAAGATTTGTTAAAAGCTCCGCACTGCTTTTAGCATAAGCAGCTATCCATTTAAGAACCTATGTTTATAATGAACAGAAGATAAACAGAAAGAATAAACAACTCCATCTATAAAACAATATAATAGGCAAGGTTCCAAAAGGCGCTAGGACACTGCCTAGCGCCTAAGGCGCCTAAGCGGAGATTAAACATGATTAAGTGTTTGTCTTTTCTTTTATTCTGCTGGGATGTAAATAAGTGCATCACTACACACATTCATCCCATCCTCGATACAACATAAGGCCCAGCAGGACGGCAGTACTATCTCCTTGGCCAGAAAACATAGTGGCCCAAGCCCATTCTATTCACAGCCTTATCCACTGCCCTATCCAGCTGCAGCCTCCTGTTTCCCTCCCAGCGCCACACGTCCGCACCTCTTTCCTCTTCCCAGCACAACTTTCCTCGCCCCAACGCCAGCCACACTTCGCACGCTGTGAGGCTTTGCGTCACCAGCCTCAGGTGGCCCGAGCACGTGCCAGGGAGGGTGCATGTGGGGTGGCAGGGCGGCACTACGCCAGCAGCAGCTTGAGGAGCTCCAGCTCACACACTCCTGCCTGCTTGTGCTGCTGCACTCTCCTGCCACCCGTCCATGCCCACATGAGCCTGCCTTGCTCCCGATTTTCCCCGATTCTGTGCTACTTACCTAGGCCGCCAGGGCTCCACCTTACGCTTAAGCGCGCCTAGGCGAGTGCTTAATTGTGTTATCGAACACCGATGATAGGCTAATATACATGCTATTCATGGTTAGTCTCAACATGAGTGTAACCATATCATATTCCAAGAACAAATCCAATACTACTGGGAAAAATGTCATTTATGCATGAGAAATGGAAATAGATTGCATTTTCAAAATTTCTACTTTACTACCAAAGCCTTGATGCACACTTGTTCAACAGCAAGAGTAATTTCAGCTGTAAAACAATAAAACACATACCGACTTGCTTGGTGACTGTTTTGTCCATGCTTAAGATGTTTTATCATATGACGTAGCAAGAAACATTGCAGGCTCTATAGCCCTGTTTGGTTCAGCTCATCTGAGTCTCGCTTATAAGCTGAGTAGGAGTATCTGATAAGTCACGATACGTAAAATCTAAGCTGAGCGTTTGGCTGGCTCGATTATTTTGGGATGGACATTTTGCACTAGGAACCCTGACTTTTCTCAAACTATGTAGCACTGTTTACTACTATTCCTGTGAGTCTATAGCCTTACAACTGGACCCAAATAAAAGTTTCTATTTACATCCGACTTTCCTTCTTCGTGGGGGAGAAGCTACTATTGCGGGCTCATAGGGAGGAGCTCTAGACGAGGGGAGGAGCTCTATTTACATCCGGGTCCTTACGTGGGGAGGAGCTCAGTGCCGGCTCAGTATGAGCTGCTCGGGGAGGAGCTCCCAGCGGAGAAGCGGCGGGCGGATCCGCTGCAGAGGCTGCGGGCGGGCGGCGGATCCGCCGGAGCTGCGCGCGGGCGTCGTTGGGTTGCTGATGAGGCGGCGGAAGGAAACGCACGCGGCGGAGGCGCGGGCAAGGTCCGCAGGGGAGGCGACGCGGAGGAAGATCTCCTCGAGGAGCTCGTTGACGAGTGACGGCGGCGGCCGCTCCGGCGCCATGGCATCCAGGCAGGGAAGGACCGGGAGAGCACGCGATGCCATGGCCGACGCGCCTCCGCCGCCGTCTCGGGAGTGGAAGCGGCGGCGGATCCGCCGGGAGGAGTGTCGCGGCCTTGGGAACGCGGCTCGCGTTTTCCAAATCGCAGCCCTTCAGTCACTTTTCCAATCGCCGTTGCGGGGAGGAAATCGAACGCGAACGCCGCGTTTGCGATGGAGACCGTCGCGAGCCGTTTGGCAGGATTATCCTGCTTCTCTTGTCGCGAACGCGCGTATGAGCGGAACCAAACAGGGCCATGAGGGTTTTGCTCATAAGATTTTCTGCTCAGCATAAAGTTATCCTGTAGTTGTATGAATCAATACGTTAAGAGCTATAGAGCTAACTAAAAAAATGAGAGGGAGGGAGGGGAGAGAGAGAGCTGACATTGATCTCCTTCTCATCCTTCAGGGTGAAGTCATTATTTATGTCAATAACCATGGGTGAAAAGGTCCAGTCAAAACTGGATAACAACGGCAAAAACCTGTGATTTTTTAGTGATTCATCAGAGGACTCTGACACCTTTCATCGCTCATGATTATTAGGACTGGTAAAAGGTATAACCAACTAGGGAAGCTATGTCTTCGAAACTTTCTTGTATTTGGGTCGATGAACCCCCTAGTTTCATTCTAGAGAATCTGATAAATGATGTAACAATGTTTACAAATCAATAAAGTGCGCCACATGGCATTCCCTAAAAAAAACTAGGAAAGTAGGATGGATGGAGGGAGAGAGTGGCACCGAAACCTAATCAGGTGATTAATAACCTTATGAGCCTTATAAGCCTTGTATGTTTAGGTATAAGAAACTAGATGTAATGGCTTCATTATCTAAGAGTAATTGTAACTTATAATCAGCAACATATCATCACATTTGCTATAACATGTATCAATAAACCAAAATGAATTCTCTCTATGTGAAAACATTCATTCATCTATACACTCAATATTGGGATTCACAAGAAGATACTATAATACAAGGGATGGTCAGACCACATGGCTCAAGTAGTATTAGGGTACTGAAAAGGGAAATTAGAACATGGTATAGGGATAGAGACGAAATAGTACTGGTGGGAGACTAGACTCATTCTTACCCAGAACAATGATACAAGGCATCCTTAAAATAGTGGACCCTGGGCCCTCCCAAATCCTTAACTCTGATAATCATTCCTAAGTCCTAACTAAATACTACCTCCATTCTCTTTTATAAGGCGCACACGCATATCAAGATTCAAACTTCAAAATCTTTGACTAATAATTTGAGTAATAATTTTTAATTATTATAACATAAACTTAATATAGTTAGATTTGTAATTAAATCTACTATCCAATTATCATAAGTTTAAAAGTATAAATAATATAGAATAAAATAAATTGATGGTCAAAATGTAATTTGGGAGACCATGTCATGTTAAACTATGCCTTATGAAAGAGAACGGAGGGAGTATGACCTTAAATATTCATAATTCCCTTTCCTGGCCAAAACCCATTACCACATCCTCCTGGCTCAGACTCCAGCTGCTATGCACCTCTTCCACATATCTGATTAACTACTCCCTCCATTCCAAATTATAAGATGCTTTGGCTTTTCTAGATACATTGCTTTTACTATGTATCATCTAGAAAAGCCAAAACGTCTTATAATTTGGAATGGAGGGAGCAGATTACAATATGCAACTTGAGAAATGGGTTTTGGAGGGGGGAAATTGTGGCTTTCACAGGATGGATAAGAAATCTTCAAAAAACTGTTCACAATTTTCAGAACTACTAACCAAACCTTTTTTCAGCAGTCAAGAAATAACAAAGATAGCTGGTTGGAATGTAGCATTAGGCATCTGTCTATGACATAACAGAAAGAATGAAGCTGATAAAACGAGCAACAATGCAGATGGTAAACCAGAGGCTGACGAAGGTTCTAGAAGTTTACCTGAGAAACCCAGCAACCCGAGAAGAAGGAGCATGGAATGGGAATGGCTTCAAAAATATATACGCAACTACCAACTCAACTGCCTCCTCTGAGATAAATGATGAAAATAGATGTGCAGAAATCCATCTTTTTGCTAGCCTTTTTTTGAAACAGAAAGAACAAATGCAAGCTTCATAAGCATGCTTCATAGTTTAAGATATGGGGTGTTTAAATAACATTCAGAACCTTGGCAGTTACCTAACTACTGGTCCATACACCTGGTAACGGCCATGCAGACCATTGATCATACTAGAGTGTTGGCTCCGCTGAAAAAGCATCTTATCTTCTGATAGAGCACTTTGTGTCTTGTCATCTCCAACTACCAGATAATGAAATAAAGTTATGGAACTCTGCGATCTTTCTACAGTAGCCAATTAGCAAATATAGGAAATTATTTGAATACATAATAAAAGGCTCACCTGGCTTTTGCAGCACTAAACCTCTTTCATGAAATATTTTGAGTAAGAATGAATATCCAGATGTAAGGACATTCACCTCATCTTCACTGGCTGAAACAAACATTCCTCGATCCTCCAAGCTGAAATTAAAAACAACGAGCCAGTGGAACAGAAAGCAAATTCAAGCAAACAATTTTTTCCTTAAATGTTATCGCATACCTTTCGCCAATTTTTAAAAGAAATGCAGCCTTTGTCTTCTCCATGGCCACGGGATCCAAGGGCCAGTTACCAGATCCCTCTAGCTATTATTAAAATAATGGAGAAGGGAAGAAATTTGTGAACAAAGCAAATCCCAAAATGAAGCCCAGCTCTATCAGATACACATCATGACATGCAAGTTTCTGAGCAAATCAGCACCATATATGAAATTATCTACGCTTCTATTATTTTCTTGCCAGTAGCGAGGTAAAGGAAGAAGTAACAAAGCCCAAAGTTCTAGAATAGAAAATGGAATGAAGAAGAGGTGTGATATACTATCTCCCATAGAGGGATAATAAGAAATTAATATTATTCTATTATGATACAGCACAACTAAACAAAGGTCATACCTGAATCATTACTTCTAAAGATTTTATGCAAGTTGCTGCGCATTTTGGTAGCCTCTGAGAATTCGTTCCATATGCCAGTGGATGAGGTTCAGGAGGAAACACAGAAGTGTGCCTAAAAGCTGGTGTAAGAAAAGGGCAAACGAAAGGAAATGTCACATACAATGAGAAAAATTGTCTTGAAGGGAAGTGATGGAGCGATATAGGGAGAAGAAGAAGGACCTACACATGATTTTTATTGACTTGGAGAAGGCTTATGATAGAATACCAAGGAATGTTATGTGGTGGGCTTTGGACAAACATAAAGTCCCAACGAAGTACGTCAGGCTCATTAAGGACATGTACAACAATGTTGTGACTAGAGTTCGAACAAGTGATGGAGACACGGATGACTTTCCGATTAAGATAGGACTACATCAAGGGTCAGCTTTGAGCCCTTATTTGTTTGCCTTAGTGATGGATGAGGTCACAAGGGACATACAAGGGGACATCTCTTGGTGTATGCTTTTCGCGGACGATGTAGTGCTAGTTGATGAAAGCCGGACAGGAGTAAATCAGAAACTGAAGTTATGGCGGCAGACTTTGGAGTCCAAAGGTTTTAGACTCAGTAGAACTAAAACTGAGTATATGAGATGTGACTTCGGCACTACTACTCGGGAGGAGGAAGATATTAGTTTGGAAGGTCAAGTAGTGCCTAGGAAGGATACCTTTCGATATTTAGGATCAGTGCTACAGAGAGACGGGGATATTGATGAAGATGTTAGCCATATAATCAAAGAAGGGTGGATGAAGTGGCGCTAAGCATCTAGTGTCCTATGTGACAAAAGGGTACCACATAAGCTAAAAGGCAAGTTTTATAGGACGGCGATTAGACCTGTTATGTTGTATGGTGCAGAATGTTTGCCTACGAAAAGACGACATGTTCAACAGATAAGTGTCGCGGAAATGCGTATGTTGCGTTGGATTTGCGGTCATATAAGAAGGGATCGAGTTCGGAACGATGATATACGTGATAGATTAGGGGTAGCACCAATTGAAGAAAAGCTTGTCCAACACCGGTTGAGATGGTTTGGACATGTCCAACAGAGACCTCCAGAGGCACCGGTGCGTAGTGGAATACTAAGCCAGGATAATAACGTGAAGAGAGACAGAGGAAGACCGAAATTGACTTAGGTAGAGGCAATAAAAGGAGACTTGAAATGATGTAATATATCCAAAGACTTAGCCTTAGATAGGAGTGCTTGGAAGACAGCTATTCACGTGCCTGAATCTTGATTGCTTCTGCTGGGTTTCAACTCTAGCCTACCCCAACTTGTTTGGGACTTAAAGGCTTTGTTGTTGTTGTTGTTCTAATGAGAAAGATTGTGAAAAAAAGATCATGCATAAAGAATACAAAAAGATACTGTGTCAAACTTGCGTCTAGGGGTTGCACGGTAGATATTTTAAGAGGAACATCATCTAAGAGACGTAACTGCTTAGCTTCAAGCATAGCTCCAGAAGACGATACTGGATCTGCATAATTACGAATAAGCTTAAAACCAAGGATATGTAAACTGTAAAGCAACACATAGAAATATCTGGAACTTACCTTGGCCATCAACTAAGAGGCAAAAGTCCAGCTGATCAACAACATGAATCAAATCATCCTTCTGCAGTAACAAATGTTTCATAAGCACATAATCAGCAATCCTTTTAATAATTGTGTGCTTCTCCCAAGATTGGCATTCCCAAACTGCAGTTAAGCAAGTAGGATTCATTAAGAATAAAATGCAACAGCTACCCGAGTAACACACTTTTTAGATAATGAATGAAGAAAAAATAAAATGCATCAGTTACCTGTGCTTTCAGCAATATTTCCATCCTTGAATCTTCTAAGCTCAGCTTTCTCTCCCCAAAATTTCCTAAATTTAATAGCCTGTGATTTAATAATGCATATCAGTGTCAGATCGCGGTAATGGCAGTTCATTGTTCCGTACTCTAGAAAAGGAAAAATACCTCAATGCGGTTCTCAGGGTTTGGACCAATATCAACAAGGCGAAAACTTTTTTCCAATGAGACCATCATACCAACAAGAAGCGGACTGCTGCCAAATTCTGAGAAACCCTACAAAATTGTGCTTGTCACTGGACTGAAATGCAGGAAAGTGATCAATAATACCAATGCTCACACTACATACTTCCACTATTTTCCATTCAGAAGGTGTGCTTCTCCACAGGACTCGGATCATCTTTGTTCTATCTGTAAGTCCTCGTTGCAGCAAAGACTGAACATCTTTCTCAAGAATTCTCCAAGACTCGTCATCCACACAATAGCTTAATGCAGAAACCTTAGAGTTCCCTTTCAAGTTTATCCTGACAGAAAGAAATACAAGTGAGAACTTGATCAGCTGATGGAGAAGTCTTTAATCTGGGATGATACTAGAAGGCAAATTGGCTCAATGACATTAGGAATATGTGCAGATTGGAAATAATATGAAAATAGAAGAGAAAAGTTTATTTGGAAACTTTGTGGCATGGATTGTTTATACGGACATCCAAAAATAGTCAACACCGTCATACACAAGTATACACAACATAACGGCAGATGCAGAATGTAACTAGATAGTCTCAAACTGAGGATGTGCTGCACTGTTCACTCAAATAATGGTTCCAGTAAAAGTCCATAATACAACAGGTGCCAATGTGATGCATCATAATTCAGCGTACCTCAAGCATGAGTCGAACTTAGCACCAAAGTCAACTTTGGTCATAAAAAGCTCTTCAAGTCCACCATCTCTGCATTTATCAAGGCAACTAAGCGTGCAAGCTGCCTCATCTTGAAGCTGAACAAGGAAAGATAGGCAGAGGCCACAATAATTGAACTCAAAGAAATTTGAAAGTTTGACTACAGATGTTGAGAGCATTACTCTGAATCTGAAGAATAAAAAAACACCAAACTAGATATCTACCAGGGATTGCTGGATTATACCACAAGGTTGTACATTTGAGTAGTTATAAAAAGGGTTTGGTGGATATAGACTAGTTTAATAATGATACATACCTCTAAAAAAGCAGACTTCGTCATCCGAAACGCCAAATTTACGTGGCCAGATATATCAAATATGGCAACATCAAATGTCTTCAGGCAAGTGGCAATGTCCTGAAGCATTTCACTTCTGATCAGAACTGAAGATCAATGGGTTACTCGACGTTATTGCACTAATCAATAGCACTTTGTGCAAAGGTTGCACACAGAACTAGGTATCATGTACATCAAGTAACTCTTCAGGTATTTTTATTGCTATAATCTCCAGGAACCCATGGTGAAATATGACCAGACAAGCATTTAAGTATGGCATAGCAATTTGTCATACTCATACTGTATTACCATGTTCACACTATAAGGCAAAGGACTTATCTGTAGACATTATGATTTTGTATGGAAAATACTATTCCATTTACTCTACATATATGGGTATAGATACAAATCTAGTTTGATGGCTCCCAACAATGGACTTTGTGCAGAAGGTTGACAAACCTCTTTGGTAACCGTATGCTTCTTCATTGATTGAATCACCAATCCCTTTGCCCACACCTTGGAAGTTGCTACAAGAATACAGATATGATTCAATTGAGTAAACATGGTCAAATATCGCTAGAAAATCAACATTTTGTTGCTTGGATGTACCCAAAAATTTCATCAATACACGGAAAATTTGTCTTGTGGTCATTGATCTAGTAATCATGCTTCCTCCAGAGTCCACAGTAAGAAACACAAGGATGGCAGAAATTAAGTATCCATTGAGACAATCATGTGTGTATATTGAAGTTCTTTGACGTGCCCAGACCTACATTTCAATTAAACATTAGGCTACTTTAAACAGGAAGAGAACACATGTACAAGCATAAACCAACTATAGTTTACAATGAAATATACCTTTACCAGCACCAAGGCCTCTTGCAAAGCTTTCCAGTTAGCAAAGGTGCTACTCATAAAGTCTGCATTTTCCTCCAAAAACATATCCTCCAATATGCTACAATTGTACTTTGGTGTGGGTAGGTTTACACCATCTGAAATGCAAATCCAATCAGCAAAGTTTCAAAGAAAAAACTATATAACTATGCTAAAGGCCAAAACTATGGTATAATGACACTAGTTTCAAAGAACATGAACTCTTATTAACATCGCATAGGAATTGAACATATATGTAAAGCAGTCATATCACCTTTTTGTATATGCATGGACATTGTTTCTTGTTGATACATTCAACTTTGAAACGTTGAACAAAGAATTTGCAGTTGGGATTACTCTTACATAGAATCCAGGAAGGTCTGCAATTTTGGTTTCTGCACCAGTGGAAGTTAAAAAAAATGAGGGGAGCATAATGACGAAAATGCCACTTGCAGGAGTATCAGCTTCGAGTGCACCAATGATGTGAAAAAAGGGAAGGTAGAAGAACAACCTGGATATACATGAAGCACAGGCTTTCGGGTCTCATCTTGGAGGGTAGACCATGAAACTTTGCGGATTAATTTAGAGCACCTCAAGTTTTTCTCAACAACACAGAGGTAAAGACACCTCTTTGCATGGTATCGGTGATTTAAGAAATCCTTCTCGTGGAAGCATTCCTGTGGTAAATGCGTACAAAACAAATCACGTGACAATCTAAAACCAAATTTTGTTTAATCGCTTCCAAAAGTAGCAGTCTTGATTCAAGTCGGCAAGCAAAATAAAAGCATGAGAAGAGTCATCTTTGTAATCATAGCAAGCTAATTTTCCATTAAAATACCCAGCGACTTATGAATTCGGAATGGCGCATTCCATTTTAGGCATCTTCACGACCCTAACATGCTAATTCTGTTTCAAATGACAGACATTGGTGAAATTTGAATCTTTGTTGTAATAGGATCTTTGTATGCTTTCTTTTGTTCAGGACCCGTCTTTGTAAGCTGGTCACCCCAGCAGGCCAACAGTTGTACCAAACTAGTTGCTGAGAAAACTCTTTTGGGAAAAAGAAAAGATTGACAAAAGGAGGTTATTCTGATTGAACATTGAAGCATCACTTATTCTACTTATAATCTTTCCAACCAACAAAATTTTGTTGAGAAGACTTGATTGAACAATTTTGCATAGCTCAGCAGTTATACGTCAATCAAATAAAACTAAATGTTTGTGAAGGAGGAAAACTAATGGCACGTAGAGTAAACGTACAGAAAATCCATACTTCCCAACAACACCTTCCCTTTAGTTTATTTGAGTATAAGAAGTACAATCGAATATGAGCCCCTCAACCGCTGAGATTTATTTGACAGCAGGCACATTGTAACAAAGGCTTCATATCAACTGAACTAGACAGAAAGCAGAATGTTTAACGAACAAGCTGTGCATTGGACAATAACGGAACTACTACGAGGACATGGACATTGTTTTGTTTTTTACCAAACAAGCATAAATTGTTTATAAGATGACAATCCTGAATACTGAAATCCTGAAAGGTATAAACATACACTAGAAATTTTGAGGGTAAAATGGACATCGCCCAGCTGCCACAGAGGCAGAACCACGTCAAAGAATCTCATTCCCATGAAAAATAAACAGCTCCACTGTACTCTGTTGACGGTAATACAAAACAAGTTCTTGGATTGAATCAAACAGATGAATTCGAAGAACCCCGCATACCTTTGGCAAGCGTACGAGGAGGTCGGCAGCGACGTCGGGCCTCGCTACCGCGCCGGCCGCGTGGCTCCCGGCGAGCCGCACCACCTCCGGCGGCCGGAAGGTGAACGAAAGCTTCTCGGTCTCCAGCCCCAGGTCCCTCATGAACCCCCGCGCGGCCTCCGGCGTCGCCTGCTGCTGCGGCACCCTCTTGATGAGCTCCGCGACGGCGTCAACGGACTCGGCAGCGGCACGCATGGCCGCCGCGCTCGGCCGAGCTTGCTCCACGAGCGCGGAGAGCTTGCGATCGATGGAGTATTCGGAGGCGGCGGTGGCGGCCATTGTGGCTTCGGTGCTCGCCGGCGGCGCGAAGGCGAGTACGGTTATGGGTTTAGGGTTTAGCCACGTGTGACGTGCTTAGGAGCGAGGAGAGTTGCCGGCGTCAGCGTGACGAGCGGCTGTGACTGCGAGCACGGCGGCGCCGCCAAAAGCAAGGAGTCGGAAGGGAGAGAGAAGGTAGCGTAGGGTTCATATCTTTTGTCTTGTTATTAGAACATCTCCGATCTCTTATCTCTTCTTCACTCCGATCTCTTATCTCTTCTTCACTCACACCTAAGACCGACTCCAACAATGACATCCAAATACAATGGTCCGGCACTTGGGAAAAAAGTCATCACCCAAAAGTGAGCCTCTCCAACAGACTGCAAACGCAAAAGCCCCTAAATCCACCGGCAAGCTCCTCCTGGCCACCGAGCCGGAGGTCGCTGCCTCCGCGTCCGCCGCCTCGGCCCGCACCAACCCCACGCCGCTCACCACCACCGTCGTCACCGTCCTCCACCTTGCCCCGCACCAGATCCGCCACCCCGTGGCCCTCCCCGCCGCCGAGCCGGAGGTTGCCGCCTCGTCCGTCCAGGACCGCGCCAAGGACATCCTCGTCATCGTCTCCGGCCTCCTCTTCGTCCTCGGCTGCGGAGCCCTCACCGCCGCGTCCATGTACCTCGTCTGGTCGCTCCTCGCCTCCACGCGCGCTCCTCCTCCAACACCGGCGCCGGGCGCGGGCGAGCTCCGCCCCGGCGCGGAGGACCCCGGATCCCCGCTCCCCGACGGTCGCGCCCCGCTCCCCGCCTCGCCGCGCGCTCCTCCTCCAACACCGACGGCGGGTGCGGGCGAGCTCCGCCCCCGCCCCGCGCGCGGGCGAGCTCCGCCTCGGCCACGGCGCGGGCGAGCTCCACCCCGTCGCGGGCACGGGCGAGCCCCGCCCCGTCGCGGGCGCGGGCAAGCTCGGCCCCGGGCGCCGCGGGCACGCGTGGGCGAGCTCAGCTATTTGCGTAGCGAGGAGAGAGGCGACGCTTTTTTGCCTAGCGTTTAGGCGAGCAGGCAAAATGCGTCGAGTGTATGGGTCTGCTGTTGGACGATGTTTTCGGGAAGGCAAAGAACTGTGTGGGACGCAAAAATGGGTCTGGATCTCCTTATTTGGAGACGGTCTAAAAAGGCAAAAGAAGAGACACCGGCATCGTGCGACAAAAATCATCGCCTCACCTCGTCGGACTGACCCCTGCGATCCCCGCCCGCTCCCCCTCTCTCGCTCGCTCGTTGGTCGCACGGAAGGAAAGGGAAAATATCATCGCGCGACGATCCGGTTGGGTTCTGTTTGCGTGTATTTATCTCAATCCGTGTCAAAGTGGATTTAAATGGAATTATATTAAATTCTATTCCACTCCAACACATGTGAACACATGCATCTAAACGAGGCCTTACACTATTCCCACGCCCTGTCTGATTTTTCTTTACCGGATCGGAAATGAGACTTTTACCTATGTGCTATTATAAAAATTAGTAATTACGTATAAGTCACTTAAAAAATTTGAGCGGTTACAGGTAACACCGGTCTAATTTTTTCCCCCTCTAAGCTATCTTCCGTTGTGTTCTCGCTGTTTATCCGCTCTGACATGTGGGTCCGTTTAGTGAAGATGTCCAAAATTTCCTCCTGCTTCTTCAGCCTGTCCTTCCTCCTTCTTCGAACGCGATGCGTGCACAAGGCCTCGTCGGCTCCATTCAGCGACTCTGAACCGATGTCCTTGGTGGGCGTCGTTGCCGCGCCTGTGCCCATGCCAGCTGGGGCCACGCCCGCGCACGCGCATGCTGGTTGGGGCCGCGCCCTAGCGGCCTAGCCGGCCGCCATTGCCCTCGTTCCCACTCACTTCGACCCGGCCGCTCCGGGATCCATATGTCAGCGGCATGGCTCGTCCGGGGGCTCCAGCGAGGACAACGGCGCGGCTGCCCGACGTCGCGCCGGAGCCGGCCAAGCCATGTGCTCTTCTGCGCCACCTCCATGGCCGTCGGCTTCTTCTTCTCCCGCCTCATCGTCTACCTCCTCTTCCTGCCCACCCCGCCCATCACCCCGCCGCGTAGCACATCTCGCTCGTGTTCCCCACTCCAACGAGCTCCTCAAGGCGCACCGCATCGTCGACACTGTCCAGAACGCGCAGTGCAAGCGCGGCGCGGGACCTGCAAGGCCCGTCATTGCTGTCACCACGATCACCACCTCCGCGCTCCAGGTGACCACCGTGGGCGCCGTGCCCGGCATCCTTGGCGAGGAAGACAGCACCAGCCAGTCCTTCCTCTTATATGAAGCTTGTCTGGAGGAGCGCTTTGCACTCAGTCAGAAACGGGGGTTGCTGAAACGATTCAGGCAAGAAATGGAGTCCAGGCTATGAAATGAAATGTTGTGAATAAATTATGTCAGTAAAGCTAAGCGATTTGGTTATGGATATTCTGATCACGATTCAAAATAGAAGCTAAGCGAAGAGGACGAGGTTTCAGTAGCAATAACAATCTGCAGAACATGATCTTTCGAAAACAATCTGCAGAACATCAGTCAAAACTGAGTGTGTACTATCTATACTGGTGAATAACTGAAACTGCAGCCCTCGCAGCCAAATCGAATGGCGAGACTGAAACTGAATGTACCAGGCGACTTGTGTTGGAGGGCTTCAAGAACTTGTGATTGCGGAAGGCTCCTGTGATCGCGGTGTTTGGTACCCACCATACTCATGAAGGCATGCTCGGCTCATCAGCTGCCTGAGGGCGTGAGACCGAATGACCAACGGCCTGCGAGCCGAGTTTTGAGCCGTAGATGTTGAGAGCCGAGCAGACGAGCAAGTGCCCACAGTTTTTCGGTGAGAACTCCCAGCACCGAGCGGGGTGTCAGGGTTAGCGGCACCAGAAGGGCCCACCAGAAGAACGACGAATTTTTGCATGGCGTTCAGACCTGGGGCTATTTTAGACTTTTTCCACCGTAGTTTGACAGTGTCAGAGGCAAAAGCAGACGGAATGCCGTGGAGGAAAAAAAAAATTCAGACCAATGCCACCTACGACCACTCAAACTTTTTAATAGCTTATATGTAATTACAAACTTTTATAATGACACATGGCTAAAACCCTCATCGGAAATTTGCATCATCCTAAATTACCGCTGATAACACCCCTTTCCGATTACTATCTCTTTTCTTCCATCGATCACGGGAGTACGGGACGGTTCTCGACCTCACCCATCGCACTCTCTCTCGCGTCGTGGTCGCCCATCGACCTCCGCACCGCCCTGAGCCAGATGGAAGAGAAGGAGGACGCCGCAACGCCACGTGACCCGGCGCAGCCTGACCGGGTCGAAGCGTGCGACACCGCGAGGCACGAGCGCGAGTCTGCCGTCCGCGACAACGAACGGAGCTTGAAGACGGGCGGCAGCGAGGGGCGACGTGCGCTTCTGTGCCTTGGCGGCTTGGCCCTTAGGGCAACGGACCAGGGGCAGTGGGTACAGGCATCGGCACACGCCGCACGGGCGCTTGGCGTGTTGCTCTACCGCTCTCGGCTCTTCAATCCAAGACGTGCGGGTTGCCGGTCGCCGGCGCAGCGTCGCGGCGGCTCCCATCCCTCACGCTCCCAGTGGCCATGGGGCTGGTGGTGAGTCATGGGGAGCGGTTGGAGTTGCTGGACAACGGGACCAGGGGTGGAGGTCCACTGACGTCAAGCAAAGCCATATGCGGGTGGCCTTCACCTGCAACGTGTACGGGCAATGGCCGGCGCCATCAATCCCCAAGTTTTTTTTTTAAGAAAGGGCGGCAAAAACTTTACCGTTATTTTTATTAGATGATAAAAAGAAGAAGAAAATTGTACAAGAAGTTACAAGAGAGCAGTCATGCAAAAGCTTGCCTGACCTCTCCACCCCCGAGCAACTAACGACAGAGAAAACACTGAACTGGACACCGAGTACATTGAAAACAAAAAACTACCACCCGACTGGGAAAGCCTAGAACTAGGCACGACAACAACTGAGGGAAATCTACTTAAGGTCCATAGGTCTTCAATTAGCTTGAGGCCCTTGAGGCATCGGTGCCATTGCCAGACAATACTGTGTGATGTCATCTTTGCAAATAGAAGCCACTTGTCTTGGCCGGGCTGAGAGATTTCTGTTGGAAGATCCTTCTATTTCTCTCTTTCCATATATTCTACCAGAAGTATATTAAAATTCCGTCCACCTCTCTTCTCTGAGTTTTGTCAAATTTCCGACGACATTTCCACCAATAACTATATATTGACCCTGTAGTGCTAACTGAATCCAAAACCGACAAGTTGAACCACTGCTTTAAAATGCTCCAAACCTCCTTGGTGAATGGACAATCCTTGCATAAATGAACTGGCGTTTCCTGATCATTATCACAAAGCTTGCAATCCGTATCGTCGGTCCGTCCACGTTTGCACAGGTTATTCGCTGTTAGTACTTTCTTATGCATCAACGTCCATGCAAATAAACGACATTTTTGCTCCGCTTTAGCCTTCCAAATCGGAGTTATTTTGATGCTACTGAAGACTCCGACAAACTGCACCTGATAAGCACTTCGTGTGGTATATACACCATTTGCTGTCCATCTCCAAGTGATATCATCGTTGGCTGTATCATTCAGGTGAACTCAATCCCCAAGTCTATACTGATGTTTGTTCAGGTATGAACTATGTGATTAGTGTAACTAATGTCTTAATAAGAGTCAAGTTAAGCTGATCCTTGATTTGGCCACAGCAGGAACAAGGCCGCTGGCCGCCGCCAACTAGCAGCTATCTGTAGTGATGGGCGAGATCGAGGAGTGGCATCAGGTGACTAGCAGTCACGGTGATTTTTGAAGCACTCAGACTTTTTCCGGTGATCAGGTAATTTCGCCGTGCACTGTTTCATTTTCAAACTCAATTTGATTTTAGGCGGGAAGGTTTTTGTTTCATTTTGGCTTAGCTGTATTAAATTTTCTTTCTCAATACTTTTAGGCTTTCAGGTTAGGAAGAAATAAAATGCT